ACTGGATCCGTCTCACCTCCAACGCTGTTCGGTGGAAACTCTGTGAAGATGGAGGTCGCCTGCAAGGTGAAGCTGGATGTTTCTGACTCACCTTCTGAGCCTAATAATCCATTCAGGAATGAAAAGTCACATTTTGAATTATAGCCACAGCAAAAAGGATTTCAGAAGGGCACTTTTTTTGTGCAGAGGGAAAAAAGGCAGGTTGTCTAGTGTCTGAGTGAACACCCCAGCCTTTGTCCAGCAGCTTTACACGTCTTAAGACAAAATAGCTCGAGAGTTGCCTGGAAAACAACAACCCACTCAACCTGATTGAGGTCTAGACTTTGACTAGACCATTTGAATTGAACGTTCGTTCCATTGTAGCTTTTTTTCTTCTGCATAAAATCCCCCAGAGCTTACATTAAAGTTAATGTTATATGGTTATTTTTACAAGACAAAGAATTTGTGAACAAATGAACTCTGGAATCACGAGTTCTTTTTCACTTGTGTCGCAGGTGATGCTCGGAGGAAAAAACATAGAGGAAGGGTTCGGCATCGCGTACAGAGTCATACAGGTACGTTTAAGCAAAGCTAAGCGGCTACGCTTTCGAGTCCCAATCAGAGAGTATTTAAAATTTTTATTCAGCTTCCTCTCCTCTCTTTCCTCCTTCTGCCCTCGCAGGACTTCCAGCTGGAGGCGCAGGCCGTCTACGTCATGGCGGGGCACCGGCTCGTCCGGAAGAGGCAGTACGGCGCCGTGAAGCAGCTCCTCAAATGCGTGGGCGAGTCGGGCACCGCCACCAGGAGCGACTGCGACGCCCTCATCCTCAGCTGTGTGTCTGTGGCTGATAAGGGGCCGGCTGACGTAAGTGGCAGAAATCACTAGGAGGGAGCTGAAGGTCAAACTGTGACATGCTGTCCGTCTGGAAGGGCTGATTCTCACCTTTGTTTTGGTTCAGGCCAAGGAGCTGGAAAGCCTCATCATGGAGATAAAGAGCACAGAAACCAAGGTAGACTGGTGTTTGTTCTGCTTTAATTGCACTAAGCAATCTTTCATAAACTTCAATAAAGAAAAAATTGAAAAAAAAAAAAAATCTGTTAAATTTTAATTGCACGCATCTGAAACTTTCCGTCTCAGATCAAAGCCTACCTGGTGTGCAGTAAACTGAGGCCGGCGTACCTGCTGGCCGTGAAGCTGGACCCGGGCCGGGCGGGCCCGCTGGTCCAGGACGTCCTGCAAGCGGCCGAAGGAGCGCAGGACTCGGTGATGCAGAACATCTGCCGCCAGTGGCTCTCGGAGCACAGCAAGTCCCCGCCGCCGCGTCAGAGCCGGCCCACCGCAAGGTAAAGAAGGGGAAACTCTGGAGCAAAAGGAGTCGCACAAACTTCTGTACCATCAGACGCGATCTGCACACTACGTGTTTAAAACACAGCGACAAGGACCTCAGGGTCTGCTGACTTAAATCTCCCCACTGACATGTTGTTTTTTACCCACCACAACTGTAAGGAATCGACCTTCCTCCTGTGATCGCAGCAGTCCTACCCTGCTAATTATACGTGTTACACAAACTTATAGGGCTCAGTTGAAAACCCCCCAGGCTGAATCTGCTGACGTGAAACGATTTGAGGAAAATATTTCAACTTCCCGCAGAAGCCACAAAACATATTTTTAGATTTCGTGTGAACAAGTATTTTCATTTGAAATAATTGTAGCGTTCCCCTGCGACCAAAGAGGACACGTCTGTGCATCATGTTGGCATTATGCAGTAATCCTACTTTCCAAAACTAGTATAACTGACAAGCGATTTAATTTTTCTTTAATTTCTGAACATTTTACACAAAATCGTAGCATCGATTTCTCAGACGTGAGACTCCTGAGAATCGATTTGTACTGGCTCAAAAAGTGTGTGCTGGTAAGTTAGCGGTAGCAAACACTAGCGCTAAACCAGTGCTAACCCTGTGTTGACGGTAGAACCTGTCGGAAAACCTTTTGTCACGTAAGTAGCGTTCCTTCTGCGGTAAAGCTGTGAATCACCACTGTGCCGATTCTCGAAAGACGATGTTGCTTTTCATCGGTGCGGTATTTAAAAAGGACGGTACTTGACTGAAACGCACGCTGCTTTGCATTGGTGTGTGTTTGTTTCCTACCTCAGCCTAAAGGGAAAAAAGAAAAACTGACTGGAGGTCCCTGGATAAATGTTACCAGTTCTTTTTGTTTTGTTTTTTTCTGTTAACGATATTAATGTCTGTGTGTGTTTTGGTTTGTCCACTTTCAGCGTTCTTTGTCAAAATGTTACATACCTAACAGACATTCTTGTTGCTATCCCAGAGACGTAGTTTACGTGTACAAAACACATTTTCAGTGAATGTTTCTTTGAAAAGGATAGTGCAGGAAGTTTGAAGTGATGTGCTGTTAAAAGGTTGTGAGGAGGTGATAACAGCAGATCGCTTTTATCCAGATTAGTTGGACGTGGAGGTTAAAGCTAACAGCTAACTTATTAGCTTAAATTCCAGTATCAAAAAAAGTCACACTTGTTTACACATTATGCAGAGGCAGGAAGCAGAGCACGGTTCATGATTTTCCCGTGTGAAACATGCAATGAAAGCAGAACGTGTTTTTCCAGTTGCACTAACCGTATAAGATAAAGTGAAAAATAGAAATAAAAAAATATGAGCATTAATGCATTACCTGGACCAGGAATCGTTTTACTTTTCCTCTGTTTTTTTTTTTTCCACACAGGAAAATCATTATTGATTCTCCAGCCTCCATTGATTCTGAAAATAATTATCTGAGAAGGGACAAAGTTTCTAAAAAGATGTTGGCTTAAGCTGACGTTATTCAAGCTCATTTTTAGCTAGAATTATCAAGCTAAAGTTGAGTAGTTTAAACAGAAACAGGAGGGTTTCTATAAAGTAATCAATAATGGTTCCTTCAGCGGCAGTAGACAGATATAACATTGTAGTAAGGTTGGAGAACAATACAGAAATCAGAGCGACGGAAGGCTAGCAGCTAGCCAGCCGCGCCGTCTATTTTATCTGCAGTTCAGATCAACTCAAACCTGAAAATAATATTTCTGGGAAACAGTTCAAACATTAACAGGCATTAAATGTCTCCATCTTCACGAGAGACGGTGTACATTATTTCCCCACCACTTTACAGTTAGGTGTTTTTGACGCTAGCAGCTGTAAATCATTTGAAACAGCGGCCAAAGATGACTGAGCATCAGAACAGCAACACAGTAGTTGTTTGACAGGAAAATAACAAACTTATCAACACTTTCTTGTGAAGGCGCGTGATGAAACCATTTAAAGAATCTAAAATATGCTGGTCTTAGCCATTAGCTTTAGCCTCAAGTACTCTCTAATCTGGATGAAAAGTTATCTGCTGGAGGAAAGATATTAAGGGCTTCTACAATTTTTTTTAACAAAACCCCACTTCAAAAATCCCAAACTATCCTTTTAAAGCAGTTGTACAAAGAAATAATTATATTTCAGGACATTTAAGAACACTGTTTAAATTTCAGGTGGGATGCAGGAAGGGATCCACATCGTTTATGAGATCAGAAACACTGTTGCTTAGTCAGACTCCTAGTTTTTTTTTTTTTTTTGTCTGTCCTTATGGTAGATACAGACGGTGTTTGTGCATCAGATTAAGAGTAAAAGAAAAACACAGTCACAAAACCAGGTATGACTTTTAGAGTTGCATTAAGTCACACGTTTTAAGAAGTACGTCAGGCGGTGGAGATGTTGTGTTGCCTCTTTGCCTTGTGTGTCTGCACTAACCTGGTGACGAATCTTCCTGTAGTAATTATTGAGGAACAAATGAAACCATTCTGAAGAAGACGCCACTCTGTCCCTACTTAACTTCAACTGTTGTCCCATCACTGCCGCACTTTATACTGAAATGAATATTTAGGGAAAAAAGAAAAATATCATGAAATATGTAATTCAGTAACTGCTTTAAAAAATGCAGGGACTAATGATTTTGTGCTCTGATTGTCAATTGTGAAATAAAATAATAATTATTGATATATAGATGTTTGTTGAGATGTTTGTTTCTGGTGTTTGCTTCATTTTACTTTCAAATACAGCCACACACATCTTGCAAACATTTTTTTTTTACAAATACTGGAAGAATAAAAGTGGTTTTTATAGTTTTATTTTTAAATTTATCTGATTACGTTTCCAATCGGAGAATTTCTGCTTGTAGAAAATTATTTGTTTCCAATAATTAAATACTTCACTTCAACCTGCAGTATGAAACTTTTACACCATATTTATTAAAACTGTCACCATGTCCTGACAGTATAATATGAGACAGATAATCTGCGAAGATTTGAGCTCCTCCACCTTCTCCCTGTGCTACCACTGCGGACTGCAAACATGAAATGCATCTCTCCTGGTCAAAACCAACCAATCAGAGCCAGGAGGAGGGTCTTACCGCTGTCAATCAACCTCCTGTATGCTCCTCAATGTGCCAATGATGGAAAAACGACAGGAAAACTGTTTATCTGCTGTCATCGGTGGCTATGCTAACTTGCCTTAGCATTAGTGGGGATCTCTGTTGTGGTGAATCAGCTGTAGCTTAGCAAAGAGTAGGAGGGAGGAGAGGAGCACAAGAGTGATTGACGGCGCTGAAACCCTACGCCTGTCTCTGATTGGTTGTTTCCAACTGAGTGGTGCGTTCTCGCAGTACTGGGAGAAGGCAAAGGAGTTCAATTTTTGTCACAGGTAATCTGTCTTGTTTAGTAAACATCTTATTTCAACTTTGTGTGGGGGTTCAGTGCCCTCCATCTCTTTTTATATACACCACAAACACACGCATACCTTTACACACATAATCCAAACAGTGGAGGTGTGTGACCCGTCTACTTCCAAGACGCAATCCTGCAATCAGCATTTCATCTTGAATTTTCCTTTTGCAGAGCTAAACGGCCCTGGGTCACGTAGCAACCAGCTGTTTCATACGGAATGCCTGAAATGTCGAGACGGGTTGAGATTCCAAGAGCCACACAAGCACCCTCGTTGTAATGTTTCTGTTTATTTACATAAAATGTAAACATTCAACTCTTACTATGAATGTCAGTTTCGTAAAAGGCATGTTTTGACTTGTAAAAAACAGAGAATGTAAACTCTCGGCAACTACGAACGTGAACGAAAACGTTAATTTGGGAGATCGTTAAATCTGCGGAAACGTGCCAATCGGGACACTAGAAAAGGGAAAAAAGTTCTCATCTCTTAAAATAAAGAAGAAAACAATACATTTATGGCTCACGCTAATAAACGGTAGAATATAATCCCTGCTTTTGGCATTTCTTTTTTTTTTTAAGAAAGTTGGCACAAGAGTTGAACTATTTAACTGTAAATTCCTAAGACATGAACATGAAATTCCATGAGAATGAAAAAGATGCTGGTCTCTTTACCCTGCATTGACAGCTAATTGTACGGCAACATCATTAAAAAAGATCAAGTTTGTTTTCTTTTTTTTTTCTTTTCTTGCCATTGTGTTACGAAAATAGAGTCCTAAAATATGAACCGTCGATCCAGTAGACTGGTTCTGGTCTAATGAGCTGCAGCAGAGCACCAAGACACCCAACGTTACTGCATCTTATTTCACCAAAAAAAAAAAAAAGACCTTCACTTTGTTTTACTTCCTATAGAACGTACCGGAAAGAAAAGCTTTCGAGTACAGAACATTGAAATAAAAAATAAAGAGAACAGAAGTGTGAGGGACTCCGAGGAAGCCTGAGAAATGTGTGAGCGTTGCGAAGAGGAGGACTCAGTCCCAGTCGATGCCCAGAAGCTCGCAGCTGACGTCCCACAGTTTGCTGGCTGTCTCCTCACTTCTCCCCTGAGGAGCGACGAAGGCGGGGGCGCAGTCGCTGAAACCGGAGAAAAGAAGGCCCGGACCGTTATTATGTAAGAGCTAATAACGGCATGAGTCACCCCCAGCTGCTCCCGTCTGTATTCATTCTGATTTTGTTGCACGACTTTATAGAAACTGACCGTCCAAAACCCGATTGATCTGAGCAGAATGTTGCTAGTCTGTACTTTTTTTATTTATTTTTTAAAAATCTCACGCTTTTATTTTATTTTTTATCCAGTAGGGGCAATGCACATTAATTAACATCTTGGTAAATGTGCCAGAATTGGCCAAAGGCCACTTTTCATCTGTTCCTGGACGACGTTCAAACTGTCTAGCTAAAAACAACCAAGGTTAAAATGACCCAACTACACAAACCTTAACAATAAATACAAGGAAACTACAACACAAATACATGATGTACAGCCATATTGGATTAGGATTGGGCAATACATCTTAAAGATAAAATCTCCAATTTTTTTTTTTTTTTTTTTAAATAAAATTCAATGATTTTAAGCTGTTTTTTTCCTTTAAAAAATGAAAACACAAATGACAGGAAATATCTTCAAAAACGTTTTTTTTTCAATCATTTCTTGTGGAGGTTGACTAAAAAGTCAAAATAAATAGAAATAAAAGTTGTAAAATGGAAATGTAAAAAGAAGGAAAAAATATGTCAGTTCTTGGGTTGCTAACGTCACTCTGAACTATGCAAAGTGAAGGAATGAATTGGTGACAAAAATCTAGATTTTTTTCCCCCGAAAATTAAATCTTGGAAAAACAGGAAATTCAATTAATTGGTTAGAAATCAATTCAGCCTGGCTACCTCTATAGCGGATATTGACTTTGGGTTTCCAAGTCAGAACGCCATGAGGGGACTTGGAACTCATTCATTCATCCTGACACACGAAACTGACCAATTTGAATCTATGGAATAAATCAAGATTGTGACAAAACCTGGAAGGTTCATCGCTTTTTTAAAATTATTACATTTAAAATCTGCTCTGTAAACTAAGTTTATTGGCAAATATTCTAAATAGTTCCTGAACTACTTATATAAAAATAGATGAAATAGCTAAATAAATCTTAATATTACAGGGACTTCATCCATGTACTCCTTTTCTACAGCTGAAAAGGCAAGTTTTCCCTATTTTTAGTGTCTCATGCTCCGTTCTTTAATAATACAGGAGGCGAGAACAAATTACCGACCGGCTTTTGTAGCATTATGTCCACATTTCTTTCCAGGCGCTTCTTCTCTCCGATGAATAATTCAGAAAAGAGCACCATCCCATTACCAGACATTTTTTTCTGTTTGTTTTTAAGTAGATTTTGTCCGCAGCGCTCCGTCTCCTACCTGAAGTGTTTCCCAGACACAGAGTGGAGCTCCTCAGCCACAGCGCAGTACACGCTGGTCTGTGCTCCTTCCAGCGGCGTCTTCAGGAACACGGAGAAGACGGTGAACAGTATCATCATGAGGGTCGAGTGTCGGGTCAGGTCGGAGTTCACCGTGCCCGGGTGGACCGAGTTCACCATCACATTGGTGCCTGGGAAGGCGAAACGCGGCTTAGAACGGCGGCAGAGAATTTATTCAAATTCAAACCTGAGCACTGAGATTCACGTGGGGATTTTTCTGCACGGTTTTGTTTCGAGCTGCTTCTGCTATCTTTGTTGTGTTTCAGTCGTTCAAATATTAAAATACTGAGCTATTTCAAGATGACTTACAGCTATTATTTGTTAGTCTTTTTAAAAATATGTAACTTTTTCCTCCATGGAAATGAAACCAAGAAGCGTTATTGTCTTTAAACCTCACTTTTTTGCCTTCAATTAAAAATGCCATTTATGCTCTATTAAGTTGTTTTTTTTCAGCTTTTTAATGTGATTTTTTTTTTTATAAATAAAAATTACAGTTTAAGTTGAAGGTTTGGGTCAAGAATGCTTTTTCCGGCCAAAAGGTGATGACATTCAGCTGGAGTTTAACTCGACCGATTGCTCCTTCCGCCAAACCGTCGAGATCAAATGAACACAATCTAAATCAAAGTGAAGAAAATTATTTTTATTTCACAAGCTGAGACTTTCAGTAAATGACAGCGGGAGGGATTTGAATTGCGTTGCCTCAGATAAAGTTTCCTTGTTGTTAAATTCAGATCAGACTTAACAAAACCCAAAAGTTTCGTCAGCAGTTTTTAATTTTTTTTCCAAATGTGTCTTTGTTTCTTTTTCAGTTCAGCCTGTGGCATTCATCTAACATTTTTGCTGGAAATGCAATGTTCTGTCATTACTATCCATTTACTGAAACCAATAGCATTATTTTATTTATTTTTCTCACTTTGTTCTGTTATTATTTTTAAGCATCACCACTCTAACTTTTTGGTTTTTTCTGCTGTAAGTAGAGGTCATCTCTCCGTTCTCCCATGTGTTGTTTGACAGTCTGTGTACCTTTTAGCCTGCGGGCCAGTTCTCTGGCAAACAGCACATTTGCCAGTTTGCTCTGGCAGTATGCTAGTCCGCTGTTGTAGCTGCCCTGGCTGTGAAGGTCGTGGAAACGGATCCAACCGAAGTTGTGTGCCAGCGAAGAGACCACCACGACGCGGGCCGGCGCGCTGCGCTTCAGCAGTCCGATCAGGAGGTACGTCAGCAGGAAGTGACCTGAGGGAAATACACAAGAAAACGTGATTGGTAAAGTACTGCTTCAGACTAGCCAGCAGCAATCAGCAAACATCTAGTGGAACTGAGCATCTGCTGAGCTCATTATAGGAGCTACTTCTCAGAGCAACACTGGTAAAAACGTAGTGAGCAGAGTCCTGCTCTGTCTCTTTAAGAGAGAGCAGGACTGTCTTAAAGAGATAGATGGTCAATTTCAATTAAATCAGGAAGTAAAATTAATTTTAAGTCTTATTTGAGATAAATATATAGCATTTTAATAACAACTGAAGGTAACATAGTTACTTGATTATGCTATAAAATTGCACAATCAATTTTATAGCTCCTTTCATAGGAAGACAAATGAATACAAATGCATTCATCAGTTTTTTTTTAAGCTAATTTCAAAAGTCGTTTTTGAAAATCTTTGGCTTGACAACAATACACATTTTGACCAGTTCTGATTTCCCAGTAAGACTTTTTTTGATATTTGCCTGTAATAAAATCTAAAGGTGGGCCAATAAATGGATCCAGATTTATTTAATTTCACTTTGATGCGAAAATGTACGAAACGGTCTCCTCTTGAAATCCAATTTTATAGCCTTTACCTCTGTAAATAAATTTGTGACTCCGACATACTTCTGTTTTGGACCTACCTAAATGATTGACTCCGATGTGCATCTCGAAGCCGTCGATGGTTTTCGTGTAGGGACACATCATCACTCCGGCATTGTTGATGAGTATATGAAGATGGTTGACCTCTGAACAAAAAGAAAAACAAACAAAAAAATGACAACAAATCCCAGCTACTTGCAAGCTTTGAGACGGCCGCTTCTGCTTCACTCGCCTCTCAGGAATTTCTGAGCGAACGCTCGTATGGAGCAGGTGTCTGCCAAATCCAGCTCTCGCACTTCCACTTTGGCTTCCGAGTACGCGGCTCGTATACTGGCGGCGGCCTCCTCGCCCTTTTCCACGTCTCGACACGCCATTATCACCCGAGCGCCTGAGATGTTCAAGAGAAAAAATTATTTGAAAGCATCAGAAAGAATATTATATAATTGTGAACCAATCCACATACAATCTTTGTTCATTCTGAGTAATGTCAGGGGGGTTTAAAGAGGGAGTATTACGTGTTTTCATACATATAGGGCCATTATAGTGAACAATCAAGTATCTATGTTACCTTCCACTGTTATACAAATGCTATATATGTGTCAAACATAATTTAAAATAAACTTAACTTTGTAATTTAACGTCTTGAAATTAGGTTTCTGTCTCTTTAAGAAGCTCCTGCTCTTTCTGAAACTCTGCCTTCATGAGTTTTTAACCAGCATTTCACTGACAAGTAGCTCGTATGATGAGCTCACCAGACGTGCAGTTCCACCGGGTGTTTGCTAATTGCTACTGGCTAGTCTGAAGGAGCTAAGTGGTGGAATCACGGGGGAGGGGAGCTCTGTGAGTGGGAAACGGTTGCCACGGGAGATTACAGGAATCCTCAAACATGCATGAAAGAATCAAGTCAACCTCCCAAGTATGTGTTTGATTTGTTTGAACATCATAACATGATGTAAAGCTCAAAAGAGTCGATTTCACACAATACTGTCCCTTTAACAAATGTTGGTCAGTTATTTTTTTAGAAATATTTTTACTTTCAGAGTGGTGCCATATCATTTTAAATGAGTCGCTCTTCCATATAATGGACCCTAAATGTAAGCCCACCTCGCACTGCCAGGTCCAGGGCCGTCTCCTTGCCGATCCCTGTGTTGGCCCCGGTGATGAGCACCGTCTTCCCATCCAGACGTGCCGTGGATTTGCACACCGCTCCTGCTGCATATCTTCTGTTTGGAAACACAGAGCGGCTCGTGACGTCCCTGAAGTGCCACAGTTTAAACCCTAGCCTCATTAGGGGATGAACATTTGGGTTGGACGGGTTAATTATTCATAGCAAAACTTGACCGAACAACGCCGAGCTTCGAACCGTGTGTGACCCACGCCACCGAGCGGCACCGCCCCGCAACCAATAGCGTGGCGGAGTGATGCATACAGATATAACTCCGCCCACGCGCAGTCTCCTGATAGGCCCGAGCAGCTCAGACGGAAGACGACCGGATCACCTCCGTGCAAACACTCCATCAATCCGTTTCATTGATTTCCAGCTCCCACATTCCTCCATTGTGCAGTAAACTTAGAAATCGTACATACAAATAAAATAATAATAATAATAAACAGTTACATTCAAACGCAGAAGAGAAACGGGCTAACGGGGACAAATGGACAATGTAGTACAAATTACATCAGTGCAAAGCAATATCTGGTCAACCAAAGCATAATCTGGCCAGAAATGTGGATTCGTGTTAGAATAAAGGTACTTGCCGTATATGTGGGGCGAATAAAATCACCAGAAGCGTCACCACTCCGAGGCCCGCGATAATTAATAAGACAAACATCACGCCACAGATCTCTGAGCCTGGCTGTCCCCTTCTAGAAGATGCAACTGATGTGTGTAGGCAGAACAGCTGATGTCAAAGCAGAACGGGGTGCAAAGCGAGAAGGGAGGGAAACAGACTCATGATGCGAACGGGATCATGGGATTGTAGTTTTTAAGGTGAGAGATAAAAAAAAAATGTGTCTGAAGTAAATTATGACCATCACATTTTAATAACCCCTGCATAATTAAGGTTAAAAGTAAGGAACCCAACATAATCACAGTCTTTACATTAACTATATGCATAAATATACACAAAGTAAAAAAGTGATTTAGTTATCTATATTGGTATAATAACTAATTATGAATTATGAATAATCATCTTGTACATTGGTAAACAAATGTAGATTTGTTTTTTATTTCATTTATTTTGTTTCTAAATTATATGGACTACTTTTTGTCTCAAAATAAAGACTTTCTACCGGCACGAAAATAAGTACTACAGGTTGTTTATATTCTGTTTTTGCTGTACTGTATTCTAAAAGAAAAATAATGAATATTGGATTATATTCTCAATAACAGTATTACCCATTACCTTTAATTAACTTAATTTATGAAAAATTGACAAAGGCATTGTCAAGCTCCACTAATACTCCAAATTCTGAATCATAGTAATAAAAATAACGTAAACGTTATTTAAGTATAAACTTTAAAATGCCATTGATTGAAGGTTTAATTTTCAATTTGTAATCAATGTCATATTTACTTTAGTATAAACAAGAGGAAATACTGTGATAAACCTACACTTTCTAGAAGACTACACTTCCCAAAGATTTTCACAACGGTTGCCCGCGTTAGTGCCTGATTAAAACAAAAATCCTCAGTTCTTTCACGCTACTTTTTAACAGCATTATTATTAAATTTATATTAAAAGCTATCATCAATATAAAATTTTAAATTTACCATATTTAACACCTAACCATATAACATTTAGATTTTTGTTGAGAAGTTCAAGGCGCTGCGGGTCACGCGGGCCATCATGCGGAAGAGTCTCGGGGTTCTGATTATAACCAAAGCAAAACTGTCAGATTTACTCGAGCTCGTAATTGTTGTTGTTTTGTTTGAAAAGCCGGAGTCTCTAAATAAGCCCCAGCGGACTTAAGTTTAAAGTAAAAATGTCGTCAGAAGAGTTTGAGAAGCTGCATGAGATGTACAGGTCGCTGTATGATGAGATGAAGCTAATTCCGGAGAGGGCTTTGACAAGCCACGGAGGTAAACACTGTAAACAACCAGCTAGCATGATTAATTTAAAAGGTATTCTGTCCTGTGAGCGTTGAATTTATGCTGTCTATGCAGAGGAGAGGAAGAGGCTGGTGAGGACATTTGATGAGAGACAAGGAGAGGCTGAGGAAGTGGTGAGTTACTGTCTGTTTACCTTTTAAATGCAGTAAATTGGAACATGTCTCTTTATCTTGGATAAAATTTGACTTGTATGCTTCTTTTTTTTCCATAAGCAGTTACTTTCGTGACAATCTGTCATATATGAACCAAGAAATTCAACGTACTTATTGGGATTTTATTTGATAGACCAACACCAAGCATAATTGTAAGGTAGAATGAAATTAATGTAAAATAAAAATCTGGAAAGTGTGGAGTGCATTTCTGTTCTGTCCATTTGGGCCAGTGCTTTGTAGAGCCTTCTTTCAATGTCAACCTCAAGTCTTTTTTTGGGGGGGAGGGTATGTCTCGATAAAGTTTGAGAAAGACAGTTACTGTATTTTTTTAAAAGTATTTTTGAGAATACAGTGTTTTACCCTTTAAGAGTTATGATCTATTTATATTTCACCATTTGTGAGAACCTCTATTATTCTTTATGTCCACACTTATTTAATGTTAATTAGTAATATACTAAAATTAAGAGAGTAGTGAGGAAAATACATGTTCATCGCAGTCAATATTCATCAAAGACTTTGCATTGTGCAGCCCTAATTTAACTCAGTCCATCTTCTCATCAACTCTGACCAGCTTCTTTGGAACTGCCATCATTACTTACTAAGTTAATAGGTTGCAGTGAATCGTATTTAGAGTGAAGGGGGATGAATACAATTGCCTCCCACAGTTTTTCCCAAATTTTTTGTTGTCAAAACCCAAGTAGCCTTTCTTTTCATTTCACAAAAATGCCTTATTTAGTGCTAATATATTTCATTAATGTTAGTAAAATCCAATGTTTGTCTTTGCAAAGCAACAATATTTGTAAAAGTGGGGTGTGAATACTTCCTTTGAACACTGAAAATGTCCTGCCCCTTTAAATTAGAAAGCTTGTAGCTACAAAGTAGGTTGAGTTAATCATCTAGAGAGTCAGATCTTCCCTTGTTTCGTGGCGTCGCTCATCTTTTTTTTTTTTTCCCAGTTACAAGGAATGGAAGAGGAGTTGCGTGGTGCTCCTTCTTCATACAGAAACGCGATGAGTGCAAAGCTGCGCCTCTACCGCAGGGATCTCGGCAAGCTGCAGAGGGACATGAAAACCGCGGCGCCGGGGTTCAGCTCCTCGTCCCAGACAGTCCAGGGAAGTCATCCGAGCATTTACTCATCTCAAAATCAACAAAGTGTGAGCATCAAATTTCCCAGCTAATCGAAAACACTCGCTCTCAGATCTTTTTTTTTTTTTTTTCCAAATTGAATCTAATTCACCCCGTTTTGACAATGCCGCTTTTGTCTACCTCTGCAGACACACTTGCAGTCGCAGAGAGCTCTTTTACTCCAGGGAACAGAGTACCTGAACAACGCCAGCCAGAGCATCGAGCGAAGCCAGCGCATCGCTGCAGAGACGGATCAGATCGGCACGGATATTATTGAGGAGCTGGGAGAGCAGAGGGAGCAGCTGGACCGAACCAGAGACAGAGTGAGTAGACAGCCTGTCAGACATGGCTTCAGTTTAAAGGTGGCATTTATCCAGGAAAATGTATCTGGGTGGCAACGAGTGCATGATAGTAGAGGAGAAACCGACTGTGATGTTGTTGCTAGACAACGACATGTTAAACGTCTTATTTAAAATGTGTTTTGTTTTTTCTCTGTTCAGCTGATGAATACAGGAGAGAACCTCAGCCGGAGTAGGAAAATCCTCCGTGCCATGTCACGACGGTGAGTAACACCACGCAGATTAACTCCCCGGTTAATAATGACGCTTAAGCAGCCTTAACATAAATTCATCTTTTATTGACATAAATTGCTTTTCAGTTTCCTCTAATTTTTACATTTGTTTTTTTTTTAAGCTGATAAGAAAATACTGGACATTAGAAGAACTAATGTATTTTTTTTTTATGTCATTTTTCCCCCTCTGATATAAAAATGACGAGTTTTGTTAGCAACTCTTCGAAATGGGGGGGGGGGTTGGGTGAAACTGCCACAGAAACATAGAGAAGAGATAAAACAAATGAGCTACTTGGTTTATCCTGTCCGTATGTACAGTCAGATAAACAACAGCCGTTTAAAAAATGGAATCACAACAAACGTCTTGCCACAGTTTGTAGTGAGAATCCCAAACAGAACAACAGCAAAACACTCTGGGAGGGTTTGGTGTCAAACAAAGAGAGGATATCTGAAAATGAAAAGTAAAAAGACTTTACCTAATGTTCATTCTCTCCTAACAAGAATAAAAATGGTTGCTGTAGGATAACAATCAAAAAATACACAGAAATGGTTCAGCAGTCTGTCTTCAGACACACTGAAGAGAGTGGACAAAAATGTCCTCTCTCTAAATAAAAATGATCAAATTAAACCGTTTTTGTAAACTAGATTATTCTACTAAAATAAAAAATAATAATTTTTAAGACATTTTACGTATTTCTACCAGCATGTAAAATTGTATATTTTCCTTTGCGATTGTTTATACGTCTCTGCCTTAGTAAAGTTACTATAAATCAACTATATTGTAATTTGAATCCAGTAATGCACATCTAAAGAAACTATTTCAGTTTCAGCAGATGATTCAACTAATAATTTTCGTCTTGCTTTCTCACTTTAATTTGAAAAAAATTGACATGTCAGATTGAATATTAGTCAAAATCTTATTTTACTTGAATATTAAGGATATTCTTGGACAAAATAATTCATCCAAAGAAAACAAAATACTGCTACATCCTCGTGACTCCCAGAGCTTAAGGCTTCACATCACGATCATGGAGTTCTTCTTCATTCTTATGTTTTGTTTTGATTTCCTTCATAGACGTTCACCGAAATGTAACCAGAGTTTCTTTTTGTGTGCTTCCTTCCCGTCCTCTAGCCTGATGACGAACAAGCTGCTGTTGGCTGTCATCATTCTGATGGAGCTGGGCATTCTGGGCGCTGTGATCTACCTGAAGTTCTTCCGCAAATGAAGAGAACAATGTCATCTGCAAACAGGCGGAGCTCTGAATCCAGAGCAAAGCCCTGCGGATGTTAAACTAAACACTGTCTCTTTCAGGTGTTCGGTAGCAATAATACTCGTCTGTTGTTCCTGCGACTCCTTCGAAGCGATGAATTCTTTCTAAGACTGGGTGTGTATCTGCTGGCTATTGGGACGAGGTTGTTGAATATTCAAAGCCGTTGATGGACCAAACCCGCAGAAACGACCCCGAACTGACATTTGCGCTCTTCTAGCCATCTCTTAACGCCAGTGATGTCCAGCGGGACGATGATCTGGACATGTGCGCCGGGCGCCACAAAGCTGTGTCAACCCTCCTTGTGTATAGTTAAAGGAAAGTGAAAACTGACCGACGTAGAAATCACAGAATTGACACCAGCTGAATTAGTTTTGTAGCGTTGTGCCGGTTTTTCAAATCGGAGCAAAGCCCCCAAATCCATTAGATGCTGAATGTGAACTGTGAGTGAATGGGAGGTCTTCATGCAGCTGCTTTATTCTTATAATAACTGTACATCTAATCAGTGTACTCTCAGGAGTCCTTATTTAAAAGTGTTCATGTAATTAAATATCATGTTTGACCTCAGATGGCATTTTACCCAGTGTTTTTACCCACTGTGGATTTACACACCGGTGGAGAAGTAACATTTGCTACTATGAAATTTACTCTCAAATGAGCATTGATAAGGCTATTTCTGGTGCGCTGCTAGTGAAGCGGCACATCTGCCTTCGTTTTCCTTGTCCAGCTTTCCTGGAAACATGACGAGAATAAAAGCATGTTTGGTGACCTGGTTTTATGTGGGCTGTAAACATGAGGGTTGCATAACAACTGATTTAAATACATTTAAATGACCTCACTTGAATTTTCCAGGATAAGAAAAATGTTTCCATGACTCACGAATCCGTTCGAGTTTTTGATGTTATCAGGCGCTTTAGAAATCTTGAGGTTTTATTTAAAAAAAAAAAAATTCAAAATTATATTTAATTGTAATATTTAATTAAATAAAAATATTTATTTTATTTTTAAATTAAAATATTAAAAGTATAATTCTTTTATCAAAGTATATTTAATATTTTAATTTTTTTAATCAAAAATGTATTTAATATTTTTTTATCTTTTATAAAAAATATATTTAATGTTTTTTTTAAATATTACCTTCATGATGTAGATTCAGCACAATCAAATATTTCACCATCTATGTCCATGGAATGTACAGTTTCAGTCTAAAACCTAATATCTGATTTGTCAAAGTGAAGGCAACAAAATACTGCAAGTCTAATATAATACATCATATGTATATTTTTCTCCCAGCACTTGAGTGAATACTAAACGTTGTTTGTGAGACATTCTGTCCCATAAACAAGTTGAGTCCTCCATCTGTGTCTTTCTGGACATTCAAGAGTTTTTTTCTGAACTACATCTGTTGAAGAATGTGTTCAGCTCATTTGCTCTGTTCATACTTCCATCTATCTGATCCTCCTTTTGCTTGAAGCCTGTGATCTTCATCATTGCAGTTTATTCTCTATATTCATCCTATCCATCTCCTTGCTCACTCTAATATTGATGTTAAGCTGCTTCTGTATGCTCATCAATAACTCTGTCTTGCTGCCTGAAGGCTTTTTCTTAACAGTTCCTTTAGTTCACTGGCGATCCAGGGTTTGTTATAAGGGATCCATCTCACTGTTCCGGTGGGGATGTTGATGTACACACAGACGTTTATGCCGTCAGTCTCACACTCAGTCTTCTCCAGGTGGCTGGCAAAGAGCGATCCAATCTGTTGCATAACAAAATCCCAATAGAGATCTAAGGGTTTCTTAGCCACAAGTCCAAACCCCTAACCTGTTGTCAAGGACAACAATATTGTCCCCACTCGGGTTTATTTGGCAAAAAAGATATTTCTGGGGGCAAGAGTCGAGAAATTAAAGTATTTTCTAGTTTTGATTAAGTAAGGAAAGACAAAAAAATAAAAGACACTCCCTGAAGTGTTTGTCCATCCATCAGTCATTATATCCATCAATTGGTCAAGCTTTCTCTACCGTCCATCATCAGTCATACTAATCAGCCACCAATCTGTCAGTCTATCCTTCCTCACAGGAATAAGGTACTGACTGTGAACTTTGAAAAGAGGAGACTGGGAGGGTAAACATTTAGATTGAACAGGAACCTTCTGTACAACGTGTTCTGGGAGTTGCTATTGCTAATACAAAGAAGAAAGTAATTTCAAACATCTGTTCTTCTGTTGCACAAATAGGACTAAGAATTACACTGACAGAGTGATTTCAGATGGACTCTTTCCCAGTTTGTCTTGGGTTTATAACACAGGTGGCCTTGAATAAGGGGACCGTATCCATTTGTGCCGGCACCAAAACATTATGAAACACACGAACAACCCAATGTAAGGGTTGAGTTTCTCCTTTTCCTCTAACGTTAGACTTTTTGTCAGACATCTGCCTGCTCGCAGAGACGGTTTCATGAAACTAAAAATAAAGAGACAACAGGAGAGGTATACAAACCAACATTTATTCACATTCATCATGGAAGACCAAAGTAAGTTTCCTTTGTAAATAATCATTAAGTCTTGATCTCAGAGCAGAAGCAACAAACGACCACAGGTCTAATGTGAATACATTATATGTATTTTTTTTTCCCCAGCGTTTGAGTGAATGCTAAATGTTGTTTTTTTAATGATATTTATTTATTGAAATATTTATTGAAATATTTAAAGTGCATGTACTGGTACCAATGTAAACTCAATACAGTAACTACAGCTGGTCCAAAAGTAAAAAGTGACATTACTACAGTAGTTTTAGACTATCTGGCACAGCCACGAAACAATGAGAGTTCACATCAGACTGTGAACTTTAAAGAAAGTGAAACTATGTCATGCCTTTGAGGCAGGTACCTCCTTATTTTTTAAAAACACTTCCTACAAATAAAAGTGGATTAGTATTGCTTTTCAGACAAGCAGCAGTTTCATCAAATCGTCCAGTCCTTACAAATCACGTTAAAGGCTTTCCTCAGCACGACCCATATGAAGACTTTTAAAGCCTTTTCGTTTTGTTCTTTTGCTTTTGAAACCAGAAATTTCCTTGTTTTTCACCAGTTTAAACAACAGCAGAAAGTAAAAACAATGGAATGATCAGGCATGGCTTAAAGTTCAGACAGCTCTCGATTCTCGAGGCTCTCAGAGGCAGAGCTGCTCCGTGTCGCTTTTCTCCGTAGGGATGGAGGCATGAGCGCCCTCTCTCGTCTGGCCCAGGGACGACGCGATGACGTCCACCGCTAGGGACGCGGTGGCCTCCACCGCTTCCTGGTTTGCCCCCAGGAGGGGGTTCACTTCCACCAGGTCGATGGCCGACAGCAGTCCTACGCATCGACACAGGAACATGTTGAACTCCAAAGTCAAGGATCTACACGGTTATACAGGACTGTTGTTGCAGACGCTGGTACCTGTGTTGTGAATCTCCTCTGCCAGGTAGATCCCCTCTCTGTAGGTCAATCCGCCGTTGACCGGTGTTCCTGTGGCAGGAGCCAGAGACGGGTCGAACGCGTCGATGTCGAAGCTTAAGTGGATCGGTCGCTGTTTCCTGCAGGTAAAGGCAAAAAGGTGAATTCAAGGTGTCTTTGAATTTGAATCAGCACACCGATCGTGGTCGGTAGGTATTCGCTACCTTGCCAGAAGATGGTCCAGAGCGACTTCCATGACCCTCTGGATGCCGAGTCTGTCAATATCCCTCATGGTGAAGTACTGGATGCCCAGGTTCTTTAGGATGTGGCTGAAACAAAATGTACAAATGAAGTTTTTTTGCAATGCTTGCATGAAGCAAAAATCTGTTTCACATCAAAGATATTTTAAGTAGAAGCAGGTACTCAGGTACTCACTGCTCTCCAGGGTCGACGTCCCGTAGTCCGACGTACACCAGATCCCGTGAAGAGAGGAACGGTTTAGTCCAAGAGAACCCAGGAATATCAGGAATCTGGGGGTGTAGATGGAAACAATGTTATTAAATTCATAACTAGAACTCTGAAACAAGGAAATAAGAAAAAAACAAAAAAATAAATAATTTTTCAGGATTTTGATTAGAAATAATTTTTAAAAAAATATGTAAACTGTGGTGTGCGTTTCTCTTCAGCCATTTTTATTTTGGAACCCCAACATTACATAATCTCTTCAATAAGTAGACTCCACCACATGCCTTATGTTGCTTGGCCTACATACAAGATGCTGTTTGTGGTAGAAAAATTACACTGCAAGTCCCAACGCTGCCACCAACATGTTGGATCTGCTGTGGGATGAGGAATGAGGAAATTCTTCAGAGTTGAAGAGCAGATAAAATAAGATAAATGCTGATAATGCTAAAAGAAAACCGCAACAAAATGCTTTGGATGAAAGCACATTTCAGAACTAAGTTGCTTAGCAAAGACATACGGGCAAAACTTTCAGCTTGGTGAAAGGCGGGTCTATGAAGCACTGACACAGACACTTCCCACATTTTGGATTCGAATTTGTGTAAAACGTAAAAAAAACATAAAAAAAATTATACAGTACTTTGTGTTGGTTTATCACATAAAACACCAAACTTAAAGGTTGTCATTTTAAACTGTCATGTGATAAAGATTAAAGGGCTATGAATAGTTTTGCGAGCTACTTTACTGCCATGAAGTTACAACTGCAGGTTAAAGTAGAACGAAAAATAGAAGGGTAAATTTCCTGGGAAATTTATCTAGAGAATCTGAGATTTTCTAGAAAAAGCAAGGAGTTCCAAAAAAAAAATCAGAAATTTTGAGATTAATCCCCAAAGTTTTCTAGAAAAGAACAGTGGACATTTCTGAGTTTGAAAAGTTGAAAATTTGCTGATAAAAAATCAGAAATGTTGAGATTCAGAAATATTCGAGAAAAAAAAAAACCTTGGAAATTCAAAAGTAAAAAATTTTTCAACTTTTTCAAACTATTTCTGAGGTTTTTTTCCCCAGAAAATCTTCAACTTTAGAAGCTCAGAAATGTCCTGGCCTGAGTTTTTTTTGCCCTCGCCACCCTTCTCACCTTGTCCTGCAGCTCTTTGAGCATGAACGCCACAGGCTGGCCGTGGAGGTTTCCTGACGGCGACGTCATGGGCGTGTTTATATCTGCATGAGCGTCGACCCAGATGACACACAGATCGGGGCACTGCTGAGCGTGGCCGCTCACTGAACCAATAGCGAGGCTGCAAAAGGTCAGAAGCAGTCGTAAATGTTTGCAGTTTGAGCTCCGCGCAGAATATTCTGTGCTCCGTGTAGTGCTGTTTTCTCTCTCTCTCTTTCTTTTTTGGAGATAAATACCTGTGATCTCCCCCCAACATGACCACAGTGTGCCCGGCGCCGACAGCTCTGCTCACTGCGCGGGATAACTTTTGGTTGGCGCCGCCCACGCTTCTCGGGGACTTCACGTTCATGTGGGGCTCGTCCGTCTCCGGGAGGTGGAAGCTGAGGTCGCCGAAGTCATGAACAGAGTAGTCTGAGAAAGTAAAATATATCGTCATTCTTCATCACGAGCCGGAGTAAAGCTGCAGTACGCAACTTTTATTTAAAAAAAAAAAAACATAAAAAAAGAAATATATATTTTTTACATATTTGTCAAAACTTTCACCGTGTCTTGACAGTTTGTGAAACATTCTGATGAGAAGCAACACCTCTAACAGTTAATGGCTATTTCACACGTTACATCACAACGTCATAGTTTTACTTCCCCCTGTCGTGGTTTAGTTTTAGAATTAAAGTCTTAAAAACTTGAATATTTTGCGCTGAAAACCAAACATGTCGTTCTAAGCAGTTAAAAGCAAACAACGATGCTCCCGCCGCCCTAGAAGAGAAACCACCCTGGACCGCCGCCCGTATCAGAAACCTCTCGCTATCTGCAGAGCATAAAACCTGCCAACCCTGAACTGTTCAATGCAATCTGGACAGTTGCACGGTGTGAACACCAGGTGTCAGTGTCTCAGACGCATCCTCAGGGATTTGCCTGACCCTGCAGCCTTTAAGAGGGTTGAGTCACCGGCTGCCGGTGGAACATTAGTGACGGGGCACTTTCCACTTGTCCCGTTTCCTACTGGCGCTTGGGTTTCAGTGACCGTGCAAAGTTGCTGCAGACTTAAGAACTTGAAGAAGAAAAAAAACAACCATGAACTCACTCCAGGGAGGATGATAGATTGTGAACAATTTGCCATGTTTAAAGGCCATCAGGGTTGAAAATGTAAACCCTGTTAGCGGTGTAGGATTACTCCGCTGATCTCAGGGCTACCGGCCTGGTTGATTACTATTCGTGAGGCAGGACAGGAATAGCTTTGACTTGATGCAACAGCGAGCATCTCTTGCAGGACGGACTGAGGAGAGCGTGGACTGTCTCTGTGCTGGTTCTGTTCAATCCGGTTCAAATCCCCAACTCAGAACTCTTACAGCATGCTGCTTATTGATCAGAAGGTCATGCTACGATTGCTAAGGCACAAATACATAAGACACTGTATGAACAAACTGCTTTAAGATTCATGGATGGTACGATGTGTAGATGGGTTGGTGTTCAGTTGCAGATACTGGACTCTGTTCCTGACGCTGCAGTTGAGGCTTTTCCGCCTTTGACAGGCAAATTTTCACTCCAGTTGCCTTTAAGCTTTAATGAGGTAAGATCTTTAGATGAAGAAGTTGAGAAAAATCTTCTCACATTGGCCATTTTTACACAGTGTACTTGCCACTTCAGAAAAGAAAGACATTCATTCGTAATTCTTCGTAATAGTTGTATCATCAGATAGCCACGCTATTCGTGACAGCAGTTTTTGCACGTGCGCTTAAATCATCCTGTTGACTGCAATGCAAACCTTTTATTTGTTTCATTAATTTAAGTACACTTTACAACAGAAATGTTCACATCTGTAGGATTCATATAGAAAGTACTTATTGTAGATAAATTACATTGTTTTACAGCATAACACCTACTTCTCTAGACCAAATATTAGAAAGCTTACAATGCAAATTATAGCTGTCTACACATGAGGAGTGAATTGGGTACGTTTTATTTTCACGAGGATTAGCTTAAAACCCTTAAAGTTTTAGCTTTAAAACTATGTCGGACTTACTTTGTAAAAGTCATATCCAACACATGCAACTTTCCCTTCTGATTTCATCTGATGTCTGGGAGCAAAGCTGGTCAGGTTACTTGGCAGTCGCTGCTTTACGCCTTGCCAGATTGAAAGCAAACACCCCTACGAAGGCTATTATATAATTTCACAGAGCAGTTGGCATCAAAAACACTCAATCCATTCCCCTTCTTTATTTATAGACGTACAGTTAAAGGTACTGAACAGGTGACGCCTGCCATACTTTTTATTTGGATCAATTTCAGTAAATACTGTTGCGTATTCTCCAAGTGGTTCTGATAAGTCCAAATAACTCAACTAAACTGGAAATGAACCACTTTTACCAACATTTGTCTTTCTAGTTTGTCCTTCCAAACTAGAAAGAAACATGTATAAGCATTTTAAATCTATTTGTATGCTTATTCTAGATTTCTATATATTTACATGCATTTTTAGTCACACTTGTAGTTTTTCAGTATTTTTTTCTGTGTACTCTGGTAGCCAAACAATGATGCTTTGTTGCCAAATTCGTTGTCATGTCTTTGTGGAATGACGATAAAGTAAATCAAATAAGATGGCATGCACATCGTTTCCATGACAACCCCAGCTAAGCTCTGCGCTTCATTGAGAGCAACCGGTTTGGGGTTAAGAAGCACATCTTGCTAGCAAGCTAGGACTGTCGCTAGGCTAGCTAAGGTTGGATAAAAAACTTGTTCAACCACATCATTTACTACCTTTGGGCTCAATATTCAGAAGACACAAGATCCCATTTCATTGCTATGCTGATGACTGCCAAATGTATTTTCTTTGAAGCCATAAAACATCTCCTGGCATGCCTCAACGAGATTAAAGTGCGCTTGAATTTTTAACATTGTAATGAAAAGAAAACACAGGTGACGACTTTTGAACCCAGTGACCCGTGTTAGTTCTCTGCTGACTTGAGGTCCTTGGGGACATATATAAGACTGTTATTGCACAATAAAAAGTGTGTTTTTTTTTTTTTTTTTTTTTTTTGGGGGGGGGGGGGGGTTGGGTTTTTTTGCCAAAAAAAATTTCTTCTTTTTCAAAAAAAAGGTTGGGG